ACATCCCATAGAACATTAGCGTAAATATTGCGTGTCTCAAAGTGAGTGACAGGCTGTATTTCACAGCTTTAATTAAACATGTTTTTAGCTGTAAAATAGCAGCTTGAGCTCAACCTGAGCTCAAGTTCATCGATGCGCAAACGGGGAATTTAAAGCTTAAAGCTTATTTCTATGGGAAGGGAAATTTAAAGCTTAAAGCTATTTTATCGTTGGATCAGCGCTAATTCATACTATACTGTCTAATATTTCAGGTATAAATAGCCGCACCACATAAACTTTTTAGCATTAGCGGAATAGACATAATAGTAGTATTGGGGGCAGTAAACGCTCTATTCAATTACAAGGCGATGCCAAATTTATTTCTGGTGAACATAAAACTGATCTCAAAGAGTAGCCACGATGTATGTGTTTTTCAGTGCTAAATCATTCCCAGATGATGGTAGATCGGAGCCAAGGCCAAAAATCAGTTTTGATGAATTTTCTGTTTAAATCTGACTGATGAGTATTCGAATAGAGGATTGATGGATGAAAATAGTATTTAATACCTGCTTTAACTTTTAGTTGATTACTCTGTTTACGCAAACAGGTAAAGACCTAAAAACGCAGCAGCTAATTTGAACCAAACAATTCTGATGAATCATCAACTTTCATGCTGTTTGATTTTACACTGAAAACCACCTACAAAGTTGTTAATGAAGCCCACATGCGATTGGGCAAATACAAGCACTTCGCCAAAGTCGGTCAAAAATTCGAAACGTACTTGTGGGTCGGTCAAAAGTGGTTTTAAACAATAGGGGCGTTGTATGTGGGCCAGTCAATGTGCTAGATTGGTTAACTAGCCTAAACAGTAGTGAAGAACAACTTGTCCTGTCGGTGCACGAACGCATTCATGTTCAACGATAATTTGATTGCTCTAGTTAAGCTTATGACCTTTTGCACCGACGGGTCTTTTGCATGTAGGTAGGTATAAAATTCACGAAATCCATCTCTGGTTGGGTAGGTAAAACCATAGGTAAGAAATTCCAATAGTAAGTAGATATCTACTTAGCTACCTGCGGGTCAGTATTGTATGCAATATGCAATTCTCGTATCGCAATCGAGCATATGCTTTACGCGCTTCGACACATTTTTTTCCAAGTGAAGTTTCCAAGAACAGGGCATCCTTATTCTGGATTCATCTCACAACCTTCCTGGGGAGGACACGCAGCCGCGCGGCCTCTTGAATCACAATCGTAACAGATAAATATCTCCGAATGAACAATAGAGGGTGCAACGTTTCACACCTCGAGGAATTTAATACGAAAGATAGAGAATAGATACATGTTAAGGTGTGATTTAGCACAATTTTATTCGGTTGCTAGCTAAGTATCTATAATTCGCTTGCTTTGCAAAAAACAAGGTCCGCCTGCATGCGTTCACAAAGTTATTTTTTATTATACTCACAGAGATTTGCGATGAATATGGTCTTCAAAATAACGGAAACGATACCTTACCCGTATGATACGTACGTAGGGATCTTATACAATACTTACACGGAGTAGAAAACAAGCGTCGGCGTGCCCAAAACAAAAATGTAAATCGCGGTAGTGGTGGGCCCAATTCCAACACATACGTAAGTAAGCAGTCGTCAATCGTGTACAAATGAGACGATTTCACGCGACAACTACCTACCATTAGCATTCCCGCGGCTTGTTTTGAATTCTTGTACGTTGTCGCTGCTACAACGCTACGGAGCAGATACGAGCGGTCGCATGCTTTACCTGCAGAACTTTTACTCTATCACCTTTTCTAATGAGTACCTACCTATTTTATATAACTTAATAAATACCCTTAGTGATAAAAACCTTGATTTTTTTAGAAAATAATAATAATTAAAAAGGCAGCTTACTTAAATCACAATTTAATCTAGTATACCTAGGTTGATATGATCAGTTCTGTAATTGTTCCCAGTTTGGTTAAGACATTGCAAGTTGTACCGTTCGATTTTCCATAAAAAAGGTGATTCCGTGCTTTGGAGGGCAAGTTAACCCGTCGAATGGCTGTTACATCACCACGGGTAGAGTGTTCAAAAGAAGTGTTTACGAATCTACCCTGTTTTAAGCAAGCTGTAAGGGAGTTCTTTATTCCCACGGGAAAACGGGTAACGGTTAAGAAGCCGCTGGGTGGACCTCTATATCTACCTTTCTACATTGTTGTTCTAAAAACATTCCAGAGGCTGAACAGGATCACATTAATTAGTTTTCTATATTACCGATGCAACAGGCATGTCATCAAAATTAACGGCATGCTAACGGCGTATCGTCGTACTAGGTACGCTCTCTATATGAGCATAGGAAGTTAACATTTTGAACACGTACGTATTGGTTACATTGTGTGTACTTATAGTATCTAGAAGTTATGTTTGTGGACCCATCATATGAGATGATCAGATCACCTTTCGGCCTAAGAGATTCCTTATTCAAAAAGTTCCGAATTCCTTGAAAAATATTGTAAGTCCTTTTGCCAGATTTCATTCACAGAGCTTGAACTAAATCTAAATGCCTTATTTCTATAGGAGGCATTAGGAGGGAATGAAACATTTTTGTAATTATTAGGTACTATTTTGTACCTAACCATAATTTAAAGAAAAAGTAAATTGAAAAATAAACGCATAATAAGATGTTTGACTGCACCAGTCTGGGTTTTAGATTAAGAGGGCCTACTACGACCAAGACTTATTTGTTTGTATTGACATTGACTATAGGCAACCATGGAGTTGCTTGAAGGACGGTGGTATAATGTAAGCTGTGGATCCTTTTCTTATTTATGCGGGTTAGGTTTTTATAACTAACCGTTTCATCAGTAGATCTTAGATAACAATCAATCATTACAGTCGAATTTGATCAATTTAAATAAATCAGCTAAAACAGAATCTTTGACATCATTTTCCGATGTCTTAATCATAATATCATATTGATAGTACCTATTCATACACATCAAAGTACGATCAATTTCATAGCTTTAAACTTATTTGACATTTATGGGAAATATTTTATATCTGCAACGCAACGCATATACAAGTTGCCCTACATTGCATTTATTGTCTTCTCGTGCCGTGTGGTGCCAGCTAAGATTAGCATCACCCCATAATATTTTCGTTGGGAGTCTTTAGAAGTGACTAAGGGATTTAAGAGTTAATGTGTATTGCAATTTTGGGCGAAAACCTGACCACCTCTCATTACAATTAAACACACACTGTCTTCTGCATCTTCAAACTTTTGTCAGACGTGGTGTGAATTGCCGTTTTTTTTCGGACTTCTACGCTCTGCCTAGCCCGCAAGGGATATAAGCGTGTTATATGTATGTAACAAAATAAGATTAAGTTAGTTAGATATTTTCCATTTAAAGGGCTACTCCATAGTCCCTATGTTTCGTCTGCAGGAGGCGTACCTAAGTAAGTACATTAAAGTAAGATACTACGGGCAGCAATAAAGCGGTTCCATTGTGCGTAGGGCAGAGTGGCCCAAGCCCAAGTGGTCGACTGGCTCACTCAGGGTATACCTACAGTAAAAGGGTAAAAGGATCTACGTGGTACGCAAACGTCCTCATACAGGGTGTCCCTGTTTAAGTGGTCCAAAGAATAAATCTTGATTCTGGACATCCTTAGCATGGCTAACTATTACGTCACGGTGTACTTATACTGCTAATACTAATACACTATAGTAGGATGTTTAAAAAAACTTGACACGAAGGTTCATCGGGTCGTTCATGGACTCCGAGTGTCCAAAGTTTAAGTGGTCCAAAGAATAAATCTTGATTCTGGACATCCTTAGCACGGCTAACTATTACGTCACGGTGTACTTATACTGCTAATACTAATACACTATAGTAGGATGTTTAAAAAAACTTGACACAAAGGTTCATCGGGTCGTTCATGGACTCCGTGTCTCATCATACACAACATGACCTAAAGAGATGAAGACCGACTGTAGGTCATAAATTGAAAATAAGAAAATTGAAAAATTCATTAGCGACCGCCGGTACTTGAACCCGGGACCGTGGGGTACCGTCCTACTGCTCTGCCAAATGAGCTACGGGCGCCCGGCGAACCCTGAAGAATTTCTCTACCTCTTGATGTTCGTCTCGAAGCGAAGATAATCTGCTATATAGGTCTTCGTTTTCTTTACTGTGTCATGTCGCGTCTCGGACCCGCGACGCGCATATTGTCGTCAAGTGCACCGTTGTGTTGTGGTGTCACCATCCCAAACAATACGCCCTATTGTGCGACCAACACACGGCCGTCTGCGCACGAGAAACAAAGTCTGCACACTTATACTGCTAATACAATATAGTAGGATGGTTAAAAAAATTACATAAAGGTTCATCGGGTCGTTCATGGACTTCGTGTCTCATCATAGGTACACGAGAGATATACTCGACTGTAGGTGTTCGTGTTCTTTACTGTGTCCTGTCGCGTCTCGGACCCGCGCGCATATTGTCGTCAAGTGCACCGTTGTGTTGTGGTGTCACCATCCCAAACAATACGCCCTATTGTGCGACCAACACATGGCCGTCTGCGTACGAGAAACAAAGTCTGCACACTTATACTGCTAATACAATATAGTAGAATGTTTAAAAATCTTGACCCGAAGATTCACCGAGTCGTTCATGGACTTCGTGTCTTATCATAGGTACCCGAAAGATATACAGACCGACTGTAGGTCTTCGTTTTCTGTACTCTGTCGGACCCGCGACGCGCATATTGTCGTCAAGTGCACCGTTGTGTTGTGGTGTCACCATCCCAAACAATACGCCCTATTGTGAGACCAACACATGGCCGTCTGCGCACAACAAACAAAGTCTGCACACTTATACTGCTAATACAATATAGTAGGATGTTTAAAAAAATTGCCTCAATGGTTCATCAGGTCGTTCTTGGACTCCATGTCTCATCATACACGACAAGGGAGAAAGAGATTAAGACCGACTTTAGACCGAATTTAGGAATTGAAAAATTCATTAGCGACCGCCGGCACTTGAACCCGGTACCGTGGGATACCGTCCTACTGCTCTGCCAAATAAGCTACGGGCGCCCGGCGAACCCTGAAGAATTTCTCTACCTCTTGATGTTCGTCTCGAAGCGACGATAATCTGCTATAGGTCTTCGTTTTCTTTACTGTGTCCTGTCGCGCCTCGGACCCGCGCCGCGCATATTGTCGTCAAGTGCACCGTTGTGTTGTGGTGTCACCATCCCAAACAATACGCCCTATTGTGCGACCAACACGTGGCCGTCTGCGCACAAGAAACAAAGTCTGCACACTTATACTGCTAATACAATATAGTAGAATGTTTAAAAATCTTGACCCGAAGATTCATCGGGTCGTTCATGGACTCCGTGTCTCGCCATACACGACAAGGGAGAAAGAGATAAAGACCGACTGTAGGTCATAAATTGAAAATGAGAAAATTGAAAAATTCATTAGCGACCGCCGGGACTTGAACCCGGGTGGGGTACCGTCCTACTGCTCTGCCAAATGAGCTACGGGCGCCGGGCGAACCCTGAAGAATTTCTCTACCTCTTGATGTTCGTCTCGAAGCGACGATAATCTGCTATATAAGTCTTCGTTTTCTTCACTGTGTCCTGTCGCGCCTCGGACCCGCGACGCGCATATTGTCGTCAAGTGCACCGTTGTGTTGTGGTGTCACCATCCCAAACAATACGCCCTATTGTGCAACAAACACATGGCCGTCTGCGCACAACAAACAAAGTCTGCACATTTATACTGCTAATACAATATAGTAGAACGTTTAAAAGTTTTGACACCGAGGTTCCTCGGGTCGTTCATGGACTTCGTGTCTCATCATAGGTACACGAGAGATATACTCGACTGTAGGTCTTCGTTTTCTTCACTGTGTCCTGGTGCGTCATGGACCCGCGCGCATATTGTCGTCAAGTGCACCGTTGTGTTGTGGTGTCACCATCCCAAACAATACGCCCTATTGTCCGACCAACACATGGCTGTCTGCGCACAACAAACAAAGTCTGCACACTTATACTGCTAATACAATATAGTAGAATGTTTAAAAAAACTTGTCACAAAGGTTCATCGGGTCGTTCATGGACTTCGAGTCTCATCATAGTTACACGAGAGATATACAGACCGACTGTAGGTCTTCGTTTTCTTCACTGTGTCCTGTCGCGCCTCGGACCCGCGACGCGCATATTGTCGTCAAGTGCACCGTTGTGTTGTGGTGTCACCATCCCAAACAATACGCCCTATTGTGCGACCAACACATGGCCGTCTGCGCACAACAAACAAAGTCTGCACACTTATACTGCTAATACAACATAGTAGAATGTTTAACAATCTTGACACGAAGGTTTACCGGGTCGTTCATGGACTTCGTGTCTCATCATAGGTACACGAGAGATATACAACGTGTTACAAAACAACCAATAAATCTCCCGTACAAAGTGAGTTCATTTTGTATGGGAAGAGCAATTCTTTTTTTATATTTCGACTTATGTTCCATGGGGAAAATTGTTCAGTTTCATGAGTACCTCCTTTTAGCTTTATTGGTTGTTTTGTAACACCAAGTATAGTAGAAAGTTTGATAAATCTTGATACGAAGGTTCATCGGGTCGTTCATGGACTTCGTGTCTCATCATAGGTACACGAGAGATATACAGACCGACTGTAGGTCTTAGTTTTGTTTACTGTGTCCTGTCGCGCCTCGGACCCGCGACGCGCATTTTGTCGTCAAGTGCACCGTTGTGTTGTGGTGTCACCATCCCAAACAATACGCCCTATTGTGCGACTAACACATGGCCGTCTGCGCACGAGAAACAAGGTCTGCACACTTTTACTGCTAATACAATATAGTAGGATGTTTAAAAATCTTGACACGAAGGTTCATCGGATCGTTCATGGACTCCGTGCCTCATCATCATCATACACTACAATGGATAAAGAGATTAAGATCAACTGTAGACTATAGGTCTTAGTTTTGTTTACTGGGTCCTGTCGCCGCGGACCCGCGACGCGCATATTGTCGTCAAGTGCACCGTTGTGTTGTGGTGTCACCATCCCAAACAATACTCCCTATTGTGTGACCAACACGTGGCCGTCTGCGCACGAGAAACAAAGTCTGCACACTTTGTTAGTTATTAAATTAAAACGTAAATGCTGAACGCCGTTGACCGGGTAATATTAAAGTAGGTAATACAAGTTGTTTAAAGAAAAGAAGAAGAAAATCCATTAAGCTAATAAATCTAGTTTATTTTCCTTGCTACAGAGGTAAGGATTAGGTGATTCTGGACAGATTATCTTATCACTAACAAAACCAATGATATTATATTTAACTATATACAAAACATAGATACCTACCTATGCATAGACAGTTATTGTACCTTCCTGTCACTTACAAAATAGAATTACGAAACAGGTAGAGATTGTACGTTATATTAACTCGTAGGGATGCGTGGAAAACATAGTAAACCCATAGTGCGCAGTGAACCTTACTTTGAGTCAATGACTTAAGACAAACGGAAGTTACGACAATATTCCACTGGCCATCACGAATATAGATGATTGACTGCAATAAGACGTTCGTCTATCTATCCCTTACTGGTTTGAATAAATTTTGTAAGTGAGAGCGAGAGGCGACATCTAATAAAATGCACTTCACGTTCAAGGAAGCGGGAATGATTTCTGATGTCGGCATAGAAATACTAATCGGGCGGGCTCAGTCCAATGAAAACGTGGCTTTTCAAATATTATGTTAAAATAACGTCAAATATATATGACAATAACAATTGCTTATTTCAATACAGTCATAATAATTCTTGCTAGGTATCTACGTTGTGAATAAAATACCTACATAACTTTTAAATGGATAATTTTCTCGTGTTACTCACACTCGCGTGGTCATGCAAATACACGTAGCAATAAAACTACAAAATGTAGCGAGTGCTACACGCACGACACGGCTTATCAAAACAAACTGTCGTCGTAGCGCTGCGCCGGCGCACCGTGCACTCACCGGGACATAAATTACTGTGCGAATTGATAATCCAACGACATTTATTTCCATGTAAATCGAATAAAAATGACCCTTGTCCGCCATTTAGCAACGCACTTCATGAATACAGAAGGTGCATTAAATAAATCCATTACATCAATTCTTTACCGTTTATGCACTGTTGCTCATTTCATGGACATTGTTAGTATTAAATTATGAATCATTTCGATACTTTTTAAACCGCTCTGAGAATATCTTTGCGGCAGCCAAATCTCTGCTGTAGGAGAACGTCGTGGAGCCTGTCGGCGGCAATAATTGAAATTTATTACTTCTCATCTTCAAAACGGAACGTAAAATGACACTTGCTGCCTACGTCCACCTACGCGACTTTCAATCCTAATGCATAGATGACACCGTTGAATTCGGTACGAAATATTTTGACGTCGTCGTTCCGTTTCGTTATTGTGAATGTTAATATTTATTGTCGCTGGACAATCGAAGATAATGCTCTGCACTATAGATGTAAGCCCGGTTTAAAACCAATTCAACCAAATCGTTTTAAACGAAAAAAACCGTTTTAAATCATAAACAACCGTTTTTTTCGGTTTAAAACGGCGGATGGTTGATAACAATGTTTTATTGATTTTAATACATTTTCGTAATATTACAAAGGTAAGGATCACTGAAATGGATTAATGATGTGATTTTGCGGGTTTATTACCTAGTTTGTCGCTCCGAGGCCCGAGCAACCTATGACCATTAGGTAACCTATGATGAGCAAGTCAGTGTAAAATCGTTGGAAACACCGAATTTTGTATATACAGGGTTATATTAATAATTTGGATGTTCCATACAAAAATTCATACCTAAGTACCTACTCGGCAAAAATTTTTTTGCATTTCGGCACGATTTTTCTACAACGGCCCTGAAATATTAGTCAGACGTGGCGATAGCGGCTGTATTGTAGGTACCTACGGCTGTTTACGCTCTGCCTACCCCGCAAGGGATAAAGGCGTGATTTGTGTATGTATGTATGTGTATGTAAAACACAGAACTTTTTTTTTTGTAGGCGAGTTTTAAACGGTTGAAAACGGTTGATTTCAGGTTTTAAACCGTGAAATTTGGTTTTAAACGTTTTAAACCGGTTGATTTACATCTGTACTCTGCACTCATGTGATTTGAGACAATCGGCCGGTCGCTTTTGTTTCATTCATTATAATTGTGTTTAGGGACCCTTTTGGTTTCTTAAATTGAATTTACTCCTTAAACGTACTCCTCAATAGGACGTAATCGTGTATAAGTATTTTTATAGCTTTGTCTCGTGGAGCTTTATCTTAAGTGGTAAGAAAAGAGTTAGAATGTAGAGAGATCACGATTGTTCTGTATCAACAAAAGAGAAGACCATTTAAAGGCATTAGGTGCTGGGCCATTTAAAAGGTCGTGACGCGTAGACCCATCAGGTAGTATCCCTAATTGTCGTGACATGTGTGGAGCACATTACATCCCTTTTGTGGCTAGTTAAACTACAGAAATCTTTTCTATACATTTCGTTGCTTTATATTTTTCTTATGTGAATATATTCCGTATTAAACCACAACGGTTAATGACAATAATAACCTATTGTGAATCTAGCATAATGTGTCAAACATAATCATAATCGTTGACACGTCCTAGCCGAGAATGGCCCCGGGGTTCCTTTATCATGCAAACGGCGTTCGTACGAGGAAGCTCACAAGGGAAGCTATCATGCATTGGCGGAAATAGTGCCGATATTGCCGACAGCTTGTCAACAGTCCAGTCTAGTGTACAATATCTTGTACTATCAGCAGCACACAGTGCAATCATCATTGGCCTTATACGTCTGTGACAGACGATTTATTCAGTGCCTGAGGCAAGACTTTTTTTATCCGCGTGACGCGGGTGAAGTTTCTTCTCCACGACACTGGGTTGCCTGGGACGCATTATGGAAACGCAGGGCTGCCCAGTGCGATAGGTAGGTAGGTACCTTATAAAGTTACGTCGAATAAAATTAAGAAAAAACCGACACGGACAGGCTGCTATAGAAATTTTC